TGACCACAGCCTGGCCAGAGACACTGGACACAGGCAGACCCGGCTGTCCAGGGAGGACAGGCTCAGTGACCACAGCCTGGCCATAGGAGCTGCTTAATGGAAGCCCGGACAGAAACTGACCAGTCACGACTGAGGACGTAATATACTTCTGAATCGCGGAAAAGGAGACCGGACACAGCGGCCTCGAGTCGCTGTCATCCTGCAGGACAAGCGCGATGACGTCATTTGTATTTCACTGGGTTGAGTGTCAGATCCGTGTAGTAGCGGACCGTGGACACCACAGCGGCCAGACACGGAGCCCACGGGAGTTTCCAGTAATTATAAATACCGCCTGGCTAAATATCGGCTCTGCCGGCCAAACACAAGCGTGGAAGCGAGTGTAGAGAACAGAAGAGGAGTAAACTTGACCCGCTTTGAAGCGCTTTAACATCCCCGAGCTTTCTCCGGCCGCTCGCGAGGGGTGGAATGGGGTGCTGTGAGCCCCTCGGACAGCGGCGCGAGCAGGGGGGTGTCAGGGCTCGGGGGTGTGGAAACCCACCCGAGATCAGCACGGAAACGCCACTGCGGCCGGACCGTGTAGCTGATGAATCAGCGAGCTCCGTTTTTCCCCTCGCGGATCTCACCTCGCGTGTTTATTATCACATGATTTCTTCCCACAGGTCCTGTCAGGTGTCAGAGCAGTGACCTGCAAGTCACGATTTACTGCGAGTGTGAAGTGACAGAGATAAAATAATTTATCGTTATTTGTTGTTATCGATGTTCCTATTTATTATCTTCGATGTGGAAATACGCCCTGTTCGTGTCCGTGACGTGTCTGCTGTGATCCCCGGACCCGGGTAGTGTCCTGTTTCAGTGGCTCAGTGACAGTAAAGTCACACTGAGACACCAGCATCACCATCAGAGACCCCCGGGGGTCTGAGCCCTCACGCCCCAGGACGGGTCACGGACACGCAGCGCTGAAGTCATCCTCAGCAGAGCATCTCGTGGGTTTATACAGCAGTTAATACTACTAACAACAACACCAATACAATCTTATTATCATCATTATTATAGATTATTATTGATGATGACGATTCCGAGTCCTGTCACGGGCGTGAGACAGTCGGCCCAAGGCGAGTTTCTGCGCGTCAGGCAGCAGCGGCCCACGCGTGGCCACGCTCGCGGGTGGGAGACGCGATTGGCTGGGGCGCGATGAGCCTCACGAGCGGCACCTGCTCGCGCCGTGTAAATAGAGCGCGCGGTGGGAGAGGGGATATAGCCTGCAAAGCCTTCGCGTGTTCTCGGTCCTGCAGGAGGTTGTTGTTGGTTTACCTGCTGTTTGTTTCTTCCCCACGCGTGTTCGTGTTCCTGATGCGCGGCGCGATGGCGAGGCGGCGAGCGTGGCTGCTGCTGCTGCCGTGTTTCGTGTGTGTCCTGCTGCGGCTGTGTCCCGCCGCGGGGCGGGGTCTGCCGGTGTCGCCCGCGCCGGGGGGCCCCTCGCCCGCGCC